GGGACTGTATTATACAAAGGTTTAAATGCTAGGGTCTGTATCACACAAAGGGTTCAATGTGAGGTCTGTATCATACAGAGGTATTAATGATAGTGTTTGTATCATACAAAGGTTTTAATGCTAAGGTCTGTATTATACAAAGACTTTAATGCTAGAGTCTGCATCACACAAAGGTTTTAATGCTAGGGTCTGTTTCACAAAAAGGTTTTAATGCTAGGGTCTGTATCATACAAAGACTTTAATGCTAGGTGTATCATACAAAGGTTTTAATGTTAGGGTCTGTATCATACAGAGGTTTTAATTCTAGGGTCTGTATGATACAAAGACTTTTAATGCTAAGGTCTGTGTCATGCAAAGGTTTTAATGCTAGGGTCTGTATGATACATGTACAAAGGTTTTAATGCTAGGATCTGTGTCATACAAAGGTTTTAATGCTAGGGTGTGTATGATACAAAGGTTTTTATGCAAGGGTCTGTGTCATGCAAAGGTTTTAATGCTAGGGTCTGCATCATACAGAGGTTTTAATGCTGGGGTCTGTATCACACAAAGGTTTTATTGCTAGGGTCTGTATTATAAATCATTTTCATTATGCTGTCCCTGGTCCATCATGGCATTAATGTTTTTAAGTCTTGTCCTTGGCCTTATAAATTAGTATTCTTTTGAATAACAATAACTAATACAGCTATAACTCATGTTATAACGGAGGTTTTATTTATTTTCAGATTTTGAAAGTCTGCTGGATGTTTATTTTTCTAAATTTATTGAACTTTTTGACACGGTAAGTTTTCTTCAATCTTCAACTTGTAATTCTAGAAGATTTGTTATCATACAAGATTACCATTTCAACAATAGAATGAAAAAAAAAACAATTCAGCCTCTGAATGTAAAACTGAAGTCAATATTTTCAGGTTTTCTTTGTGATGAGGAAGAAGTTTAACCAGGCCTCATTTTTACATGTTTTTCACCATGGAATTATGCCCTTCTCCTGGTGGTTTGGAGTCAAATTTGCAGAGAGGTGATTGGGTAGATTTTTCATTCTCTCTAATTGTTGTGCATAAAAATCTTAATTTTGAATTTGCCCAGGTCACAGGAAATTGTCCTCGACCTCAAGCATTTGTTATTGACCTCAGCTTTTGTCCTTGAAGTAATTTAAAATTGAATTTTTGTACCTTTCCCTGACCCTGTGTATTTTGACTTTTAGGTGGGTTTGGCACCTTCCACTCGATGCTGAATTCCTTTATACACCTGGTGATGTACACTTACTATGGTATGGCAGCCCTGGGTCCTCAGTACCAGGAATATCTCTGGTGGAAAAAGTATATGACATCTCTGCAGATAGTAAGTGGGTCACAATCAATTTTATGTCACGTGATAAGTGCATAAGGCTATCTAAATTTAATTCCCTGGTTCTCAGGCCAATTTTCTCCAAAACAGATGCGGGAGGGTGGCATTTTATTTTTCATTTTATTGGCAATAAAGTAGATGAGGAAGGTATTTTTTTAAATTTTAATTTCCGAATTTTCTTCAACATAAAGATAATTTTTTAATCACAGATATTCTTTCCATTTCTGGTCAAAATTTCTGCTTTATCCATTACTTAACAGCGTGTAAACATTGTAGGTAATGTCCTGGAATGTATTTTCAAACGAAGTAGCCAAAATCTCATTGTAAATGGCTACCGGAAGTGATATTTGTATACTAAACTACGAAACAAATGATGTCGGAATTTTTTTTCCCGGATTGGTCTCCGCAAGACCAACTTTTTATTTTATCAAAAATACGATAAAATCGGCAATGCGACTACCTCAAAACGGATGTGCGCGGGCCTGAGAACCAAGATTTCAATTTTATATGGCCTAATTTATCTTCTTTCTTTTGGTTTCCCAAGAGTAACATTTACATATCAGTTAATGTAACAATTCCATTGTTTTTATATTAGTATGAGGGTATGTTTTTTGTGTCTTCTCTTAAACCTAGGAAAGGAAATGTGACTTTATAACCATTTAAGTAAATTAATTTGTGAAGGGTGTTAATTCGTGAATGAGGGAATCCCACAAATTCCATGAAAATTGAGCGACCATAATAATTAATGATTCCACAAAAGTTAGTTTCATCTAATCGTAGTTGCAGAACTGTTTATTAGTCTTTGACCCTAAAGCTACAGATCCTTTAATGCAAAAAAAAGTAAAAATACAATGTAAGACTTTTTTCGCACTGTTTTGGGAGAATTTCTCCACTTCCCATCATTGGTAAATCACATTTTAAGGAAATTTGTATATTTTACTCACCTCATGACCCTATTAGGTGGTCTTTACAAGTGATAAACTCGCTTGATTTAGAATGGAGAATTCAAATCAAGCTACTTTATTGCCTAAAGAGGAGACTATGTATAAAGAATTTTAAACAGATGGATAGAATATACAAATTCATTTAAAAATGTGTCTGGAATAAGGAAGAGAAAGAAAGATGATTTACCAACGCTGGAAAGGGAAGAAATGCTCCCAAACTGTGGGCAAGAAATTTTGTGCCAAAAAATGCACTTTTTTGCATTACAGCATCTGTAGCCTTATGGTCAAAGACTAATTTTAAAACCACAACAGTCCTGCAGCTATTCCAATTCATAATTTTGTTACCTGATATATATATTCTATATAGTTGACTTAAGTCATACACAAATTTACATGTTAACACATTAATAAGGAATCTTTATTTTTTCTAACAGACTCAGTTTATCCTGGTAACCATCCACTCTATACAGCTGTTGTTTATTGACTGTGACTACCCCACTCTGTTTGTTTACTGGATTCTAGCCTACGCTGTTATATTCCTCATCATGTTTCGCAGACTTCTACAGAAACGCCTATAAAAAACCAAAGACCAACGGAGCTGTTACCAATGGAGTCAAAGCCAAATCTAATTAACACATGCTTTAATTAGAAATATTTCAATTATAGCTCTTACCTTATCCATTCGTTTATTTATAATATTTTTTTGTTAGCTATGACTTGTAAGTTAATTTTACATTTCTCCAATTTTAGACACCACCTCATGCATAAATTGTTAACTATGTTCATAGTTCCAGCAGTATGTACCCCATAATCTGCATGAATGTTAAAAATGATAATTAGAAATAGAAACAGTTTTAAGTTCATTCTTTGTCAAAGGTTTTTTTTTATAATCTTTGATTCGACAAATCAGCTTTTATAATATGTCTTTAACGTGTAGATACATTTATTATATGATGTTGATGTTAAGGTTTTAGAAATCCCCTTCTGTAGGCATAACTTTACCAAATGAATTCAAATTTATTCTAATTATGCCTTAAAAATATGATGTTGTGCTTGATATATGTGAAAAAGCAGGGATCATTTATCAGAAAGATATCTGTGGTTACAAAACTAGGATTGATTATGATACAAGTGATTGACACATGTGACACAACAGAGCAACCATGAAATCCTCAGCTGTGACCAATTTATGTTTAGTATTCTCCTTATTTAGATCATTATTAATTACAAAATGGACCAATCAGAAATATCAGATTTATGTAAGTTGTCGATTGGCTGTGAGAGGTTTTACTGGGATTATTTAAGAACCAATCAGAACTGTTTGATATCCTATTGTTGATTGGTAGTTGGAGTATCATTACCAAATATGACCAATCAGAATTGTTAAATATCCTCTTTTTGATTGGTAGTGAGATGTGTTATTTGGAATATGTAACCAATCAGGTCTGTTATTTATCATTTTGTTGATTGGCCATATAAGTTTTACTGGGATTATCTAAGAACCAATCACAACTGTTAGATTTCTTGATTTCTTTGTTTTGGTTCTCACTGGGCTCTGACCTCTATGATTATTTGTTATTGATTGAGTGTTCAAGATTGTAATCAGGGTATCATAGAAGCTTTACCCTGTCTTTGTTTTTTACCTCTAGAAATTTCAGGGATTCACTATTAAGTTTCTTCTGATGTATTCTTCTGATTCTTAATTAGAACTAGCTTATAATCAGCTTTAAATGATTTTCTTAATCTTGGAATCTGGATAATTCCTATATTTGTTTGTACATGTTAATGTTTCATTATGTATAGTCATAATACTTAAACAGTTGACGGGTTGTAAATCTGTGTTGATTATATGTCCGGTCCTTATTGTATGGAAAACAATTGTAACAATCCTAAGTTAAATCTGAGGTTGACCAGTCTGATTATATGTGCATAGTTGATTCAACTGTAATATTTTAAAGCTTCTTAAGATTTTACAATATATTGACAGACATGTGATATAATCTCATTATATTTATCTGAGTCATGTACAGCTCTGAACAAAGAAAAATATATTTTAAACTCTGCATAATACTTTGAAGGATTATCCAAAGACGAAAAAGAATTCTTATATTGATAATGTGTATTGAAGTCAATAATAGATATGAAACATGTGAAAAAGAATCTGAATGTTAGATATGTCGACTTATCAGATGATTTTTTATTGATTATAAAAGATTGTCTAAATGCTGTGCCATTTTTAAACCCCAAGCATGCATGCATCATATGGAAGAATTTATGTGTGATGTTTAGTTTTTACCATCATGTTAAATGAAGAGAATTAAATTTTGATATTGCTGTAGATTTTGTACTTCATTTTGCTATATGAAAAAATATTACATTTTATTTAATAATGATATTGCTTTGGTTGTTTATTATACTAAAGATAAACGGCAATGGTTTTCTGTAGACAGTGTATTGTTTGTAGTATTGTTTAATCCCTTGTGAGAATTTTTCACTCATATGGAGACTTTCATTAAATATGAAAATAATGAACAATAATCAAGGTCAAATCTTATTCTAAACAGGTAAAATTGTGAACAGATATTACCGTCATATTCTATAAACATCAGAGATTCCTTTGTAATGGAAGGATATGGAGATTATGAACAGTATTCAATATTAAAGTCCATAAAACAATTCTACAGCCAAAGCAGGAATGTTCCTGAAAGATATACACCGACAGTGCCACAGGTCTCCCAAGTGTGTAATGACAGCTATTTGATACCAACCGCTTATCATGAATTAAACAGCCTGAGTGATGATCGTGCAATGACTTATATGCCTGTAATCATATTTCTCATTGTAATTATGCTCTTTGGAATCCTTGGTAACCTGCTTGTACTCTATATTTATTGCTATGTCTTCAAAAGAAAACCCGCCAACAATTTCATCATTACAATGGCGGTGTTTGATTTCTTGGCTTCCGGTATCGCCATTCCTTTAGATATCTACGACATGCGCTATCATTACACATTCTACAATTCCGTAGCATGTAAAGTTTTCCGATTTTCTGAATCAGCATTCACAAGTGCCTCGTCGTTCATTTTGATTTTGATCGCCATTGACCGATACCTTAAAATTTGTAAGCCTCTTTTGCCTGAGTCGTCCTTACGAAGCAAACTAATGTGTGCGGGGTCGACTCTGTTTGGCTTCATCATCGCCATTCCGACACTTGTGCTGTTTGGAATAAACCGTGTACCACTGCATCCAAGAATTTTTTGTGGATTCGATTGTACCATTTCGAATGAATTCATGAACAGAAAGTTTAGTAAATTATACTATGCTCTATTGCTCAGTATATTCTGGGTGACATTATTCCTCCTAGTGGGATTCTACATACGTATCTGGATTGCTATAAAAGATAGGAGAAAGAATACAATCGGAGAGCAGCCATCAGTAAGCCATTCATCGATTAAAAGTGGAATTTCAAAAGAGTCAAGACTGAAAGGAAAAGAACGCCAATCAAGCATAAATGTCCACGATCCAGTTAGTTTAAAAAACGAAAACAAATCAATTCTGAATAGTCAGCTATCTTGTGCATCAGGAAAATCCCTTATGTCTAGAGTGAGTTCCAACGTAACAAAGATGACCGGGAAGGTTCGCTGCACGCGGTCAACAAAAATTTTCATTGCCGTAACAATTGCATTTGTTTTGTCTTTCCTACCCAGTATAACCGTTAATCTTCTTCAGGGTTTTGTCAGAAGCATCAGAAAAATCAAATCCAGCGAATTTAAGGTTATAATGAAACTACTGGCCCGTGTCCATTTCGTGAATCATGCCATAAACCCGCTGATTTATAGCTTTTTGAATGTTAACTTTCTAAGAAAATGCTCATAAGCTTACAACCTCCCTTTAAATAAAGATTTTATGCTTCTTTTGTATAAAAATAAGGGCCATGTTTCTTTGGAGATGGAAACATAATATGTAAAGTATATCTATACGTAAAAACAAACGGATAGAAAAATACTCTGTGTTAGTTCCCTGAGATATCCCACATACATAAATATATACATGTATGTAAAAAAAATGCATATAAAAACCTGAAAAATTGTTGTTAAACTCCATATCATTAAAATGATGTACAATACATAATGAATAGCAATGGTAAATAGGTTGCCTTTAAGTGTGGTGAAATATGATAACACTGAAATAATTTTTTTCTAATATGTAGTTGTTGAACTTTGCTTAATATATTGGAGTAAATTCTGAATACATATAGTTACATTTAACAAGCTAAAAATTATCATATAATATATGACGATAACGAAAGGTAATCAAACTCAAAAATCGGTATGGAGCCAAGAACACGGACCTCTAAAATTATTAGATACTGGATCAGATCAGATGGAGGATTAAGCTTCCCCTGTAGACCGGTCGCACCCATCTGCCCCTTATCATGAATGGACAAGCAGGAAAAACATAAGTACTTCAGTTATACAATAGTTGCCGAACAATTTGCTTAAAAAATGAAAGCCAGCATTAACTAACGATAGATTGTATTTGTTGTATGGTCATTTTTATAATAGTAAAATTAGCAAAACATCAATGGTAATACCTTAGGACCACCTAATTTGCATCGTTTTGAAAATCGTTTATGCTTAGATCATGTAGATGGCGTTTCGAATCTAGTGGGGTACGTAAGTTCAATATCCAAGTGAAAGGTATATTGTTAAATTAATAAAAAAAGAAGGTGAAAAAGCTGAAATCAACACTTTTATTAAGAACGTAAAGTTTGCTTTTTATGTCTCTCTGTTGTAAAACGCCGTTGTGTCGGTAAAATTCAAAAAGCATATCAAATCAACATACGAATCTGATGCAGAGAATATTGGGGGTTGCAAAGAATTTGTTTTAATGCTTATTTGCAACAGAATTGTCAGGTATATGAAATTTACCATGGGGACCGGTAATTGGACTTCCTTTGCAGGAAATTTGTCTACTTTTCAAAGTGCAGTTTGAACATTGGATTTGTAATCATTGATGGTCTTTATTTAAGAGATAAACAACGTTATTTAGTGAACATGGCGTTATGAATAGCAATTGCTCTGCTGGCGTATTCCATGATGCGCTAGCGCATCATGGAAAATATGCCAGCAGAGCAATTGCTATTCATAATGCCATGTTCACTAAATAATCGTTGTTTATTACTTATATCAGCATTCTTGCTTACATAAGGATGTGGCTTGTTGTCTTCAGTGAAGAAAAACACACGGCTTTAAAATTAGTATACCTGATTATTGACCTTTTCTCTAAAAATCACAAACAATTTATAAAGTATTCCTCTTTTAAAACAAAGTAATTAGTGGATAAGATGCAAGCTGTGCCGTCGTCACATTCTCTCTTAATTTTTGTTTTGATGCAGGTGTGACGTCATGGATCAACGTTATTGAAACCCTCTGACAAAAATCAATATAATTTAACCTTATGACAAAAAAGAGCTTTTATAATGATTATTATTCCAGAATGCTTTTCTATGATTTTTTTTAATTTTTTCATATTTATTTTTAATAGCTGAAATCGTTCTTGAATAGAAAATTTGCTTTTTATGAATGTGTTATTACCCAAGTGTGAACAGTTATCGTTCTTTGTACAAATATATATGATATGAAAAAATAAAAATTGGCAGTTCTCTATAATTTTTAAAAAGTTTTATTATACAATTAAATACATTGACCAAAATTGAATTTTAAAAGATATAAATCCGCTATTTTAATTTTTCTGAATTTTTTTTTTCCAAAAAATATCATTAAAAACTTATATTCATTCCTTTTACGAAACATTTGATATACATACTTCTCAACACGTTGCGTAAATGTAGAAGAGATTACACTACACGAGTGTGAAAAAGCAATTGCATTCACAGTAGAAATAGATGCGTCTATGAAGCTATGAACGCAGTGTCACAATATGTTCATACTGGGAGAGAGCAATGGATATGCAAATATTAAGACTGTAATCAGGGTGTCATAGAAGCTTTACCATGCTCTTTGTTTTCATACCTCTAGAACTTTCAGGGATTCATTATAAATGTTTCTTCTGATGTATTCTTTTGATTCTTAATTAAAAGTAGCTTAAAATTAGCTTTAAATGATTTTCTTCATCATAGAATCAGGATAATTCCTATTTGTTTGTACATGTAAATGTTTCTTTATGTTTAGTCTTGATACTTAAACAGTTGACGGGTTGTAAGTCTGTGTTGATCGTATGTCCCGGTCCTTATTGTATGGAAAACAATTGTAACAGACCTAAGTTGATTCTGAGGTTGAAAAACCTGATTATATGTGCGTAGTTGATTCAACTGTAATATTTAAAAGTTCCTTAAGATTTTACAATATATTGACAGACATGTGATATAATCTCATTATTTAAATCTGAGTCATGTACAGCTCTGAAGTCTGAACAAAGAAAAAATATTTTAAACTCTGCATAATACTTTGAAGGATTATCCAAAGAGGGTAAAAGAATTCTTATATTGATAATGTTTATTGAAGTCAATAATAGATATGAAACATGTGAAAAAGAATCTGAATTTTAGAGATATCAACTTATCAGATGATTTTTTATTGATTATAAAAGATTGTCTAAATGCTGTGCCATTTTTAAACCCCAAGCATGAATTTATGTTGATATTTAGTTTTTACCATCATGTTAAATGAAGAGAATTTAATTTTGATATTGCTGTAGATTTTGTACTTCATTTTGCTATATGAAAAATATTACATTTAATTTAATAATGATATTGCTTTGGTTGTTTATTCATATAAAGAATCACAGAAACAATTGAGAGAAATGGATTCTGTAGACAGTGTATTGTTTGTGAGTATTTAATATTGTGAAAGATTTTGTAGACTTTCATTAAATATGAAAATAATGAACAGTAATCAAGGTCAAATCTCATTCAAACAATATAATTGTGAGTAGATATAACACATGTCTCTATAAACATCAGATATTATTTGTAATGGAAGGATATGGAGATAATGAACAGTATTCAATATTAAACAGATAGAACACATGTCTCTATAAACTTGTAATGGAAGGATATGGAGATAATGAACAGTATCCAATATTAAAGTCCATAAAACACTACAAAAGAGGAGCAGAGCAACCACAGACTTCCAAAATTTCAGAGGTGGGATCAGGTACCATGGAGGAGTTTGCATCCCACAGTGTGCTCCTTGTCATGATCGGTAAATAACGGGAAATACGTTGTCAATTCAGTGCATAAATAATGGACTAAGAATTGGTATGAAAAATGTCAGCCAGTATTTGACTCAATGATAAATTGCATTTGCTGACAAGGTCATTCTATGGACCATAGAACTAAAACATCATGACTCCTTTAGGACAACCCATGCCTTTTTTAAGTGGCAAATCCATCGTGAAACTTCATTTCAGAAAAGTCTACTGAGATGAATACACCGTTATTGTGTTCCAACTTATTGGGGGGGGGGGTGTGATGGCTTGTCTGGTCTGCTGTCTGTATTGTATTCAGCCCTAAAAAAGGGTATAATAGGCAGTCTCCCGAGGACAGAAAGCTCAGTTTCATACGAGTAATGAACAATGCAGTATCATTCCGGATTACTGAGACAGACAGGACACGGTTGGACTTTATCATAAAGGCCTATTACGTAAAAAAGGACACGGAGTAGCCGGTTCCATCATCACTGGATTGGTGGGAGCCCTTCCCTTGGATAATTTTTCACCGGGAACTCCTGCTAAACAATCACTCAAATTGGGTAGGATTTTAACTCACATGAAACCTCAAAAAGGAAGAAAACTTTTTAAACTTCATCTCGGGAGCGGTTCCTAAA